CGTACCTATCAGCCTCGACATCCTCCCTCTGATTGACCCCATAATCAAAGGACGCTTCAGTCACCAGCTCCCTACCCGAGGTGGACTTCATTTCACAATATTAACACAACAAAAAGGGCTTTTCTAGGAATAATACCTAAGGGAAGAACTACGCAAACGGAGATAGGCCGGAAAATCAAAGAACAAGCAGCCTCGACGCCGGAAAGTTCAAGATTTGAGAGAGAATCAGATTGCAAGTGTTCAAAAATCCTGAAAAATAGAATTTTCTCACCTCTTATAGAGGTCTAGGACGAACCCAAGCCGTTAGATCGAATCTCAGTCAATCTAAGCCCTTCATTGTCGAACAAATCCGAGGCGTTGAATTCAAACGATTTTTCAAACCTACGCCTCAGATTCAAGTGTGCCTCCCACACGCCCCCATCCAACGCGTATGCTTCTAGAAGCTCCAGCTGCCATCATAATTGTGTTTTTAATTTGATGGCAGCAGACGCCTTGAAAGTCGTAATGGTTCAGCCACTTTTCCTCAAAAATAAGCACAAAACATCAAATCATTAGCACAGCTATCGAGGCACAATCATTACCATTGAACCTCGGCTTCTTCTTCAACATTCAGCCAACAAACCTCGCAGGTTCGATTTCTCAACCACCTCGGTTTCAACTTCAACATTCAGCCATTAAGCCTCGCAGGTTCGGTTTCCCAACCACCTCAACTTCAACTTCAACATTCAGCCAACAAGTCAGGTTCGGTTTCCCAACCACCTCGGCTTCAACTTCAACATTCAGCCAACAAGTCTCGCAGGTTCGGTTTTCCAACCACCTCGACTTTTTCTTCAACATTCAGCTATCAAGCCTCGCAGGTTTGGTTTCTCAACCACCTCGGCTTCAACTTCAACATTCAACCAACAAGTCAAGTTTGATTTTACAACCACCTCAGTTTCGTCTTCAACATCAACACAGTCTCGGTCTCTTCATCGTTCACCCACGGCAACACATTTCTAATTCCAACTCTGATATAAATATCTACACTTGGACTTCGAGGACTATTATTTGGGGTTCAAAAAATTCTTTCAATTTTTACTTCATTAAAGTCCACGCATTACATGAATGACCATACTTGGACTTGGGGGACTATTGTTGCGTGTTGTCATACTTGGTCAATCCACCTAGGCCAATGGCCTACTCAGGGCGAACCACGTGGCATTCCAGTCGAGGTGACATATATTGTCGAGGTGGGCAATGGCCGAAACCCTTCAAGCCGAAGTCCATTAGCCGAGGCGCCTTTTTACCGAGGCCCATGATCGTACCCGAGGTCCACATGCCGAGGCCCATGATGCTGAAGATAGCTGAAGCCCTCAAGCGGAAGTATTGTGTAAAATGGTTGAAGCCCCGAAGCTGATGCAGGAGCCTCCGAACCACAAGGGAGTGTCCTCCATGTTCACTTCTCCCAAGATATCGTCTGCATAAAGATCTTATTCAAATGATTGATGGAACGTTTGTCATAAGCATGAAGGTCAAGTCTTGTCACTAGTATGGGGGCTCTGCACAAGCAATAAATGTGCTACAAGCTAGCAAGTCAAACCTCATGCCTGATAAGATGTTTAAATCAAAGAGATGAGGCCACGTGCCACCTCATCCAAGGGCTCCCATTTCACATATACTATTATAAATACTTCCCTTGTGTGACATCAAAAGGCTAATGCAAGAATCAATACAAAGTACTACACTTTACTCAACTCTCTCTTATTTACTTGCAATACACAAATCGAGTTTATACACATTTACATATACATTTATGAACACCAGTTGGTAATTATTGTACAATCGGATCACGAACAACCCGTGGATTTCGAACGTCACCGTCCAACGTCGACTCTCACGCCCTTTGAACTGCTCGTTTTAGACCGTCTACGTATCTTAGCATGTTGGACATCTGCCTACGTGTGCGCGGGTGGGACCGACATCTGTTGACAACATTTTTTGGAGTCAATAAATTCTTTGGCAAATACTTTAGAAGAACCAAAGTATCCATATGATTAAAAACAGAAGTTCTATCTACAGGTGGTGCCAGGGGATATAAAAAATAATTTTACAATGGACTGAAACATTAAAAAAAAAAAAAAATCACGTTGACTTTCAATGAGATTAAAATTTTGATTTTAATTTCTACCAAATAGGAGCCGTATTATATAATCAAATCAATTAAGCCCTTATTTGGTCATCATTATTTTCAAAATACATTTTTTCAATCTTATTTTCAACCACACATTCTTCAATGAAATAATATTTTTCACAAACTAAAAAAACTTTTCTTATTTTTTTTAACCACACATTCCTCAGTAATATATTATTCCAAAATGCATTTTAAAGAAAGAAAGTGGTTCAAACATGCTCTAAATATAATTTTATTTGTCTTAATACGTACCTGTAAAGTATTAAGACTTTTATCGAATTTAACTTTTTTATAATAAAAAAAATGGTTAATTCACAAAAACTGAAAAATTAGTGTGGACTACCAACAATTTTGTGTGAAGACAAATATTCAACCATTGGGGTTTTGACTTTAAAAAAAAATTTTAATTCGTGAAATTGGGTCCCTGCTTTATGAAAATCGACAATTTGATGGTTAAAATTCCTTGTGACTTTCACGTTAAAATTTTGAAAACATTAAGCGATATAACCATTTTGGCATCCAACTTTTATTTACTTGAAAATCACTGACAATTTGAACACATTGATGTTGTTGATTTCTCACTTGGGGAAACAATCTCACAATGCTAAATAAGTTGAAAATCAAAACCTCACTTTTGAAAATCGTAAAGTCATTTTCACATGACTACTTGAGGAGTTGGAGAGCTCATCCCTAATTCCGATGATATACCCAACCTTTTACATGGTTATGGATCTTCAACCTTTAAAGTGTTGTACTAGATCTTTAATCTATTTGAATATGTGAATTTGGATCCCTAAATGATCAAAATCATGAATATCAACTTTAAAATCACACTCAACTTTCATTAACTTAAAATTGGAGGACAAAATCGTCAAATTACTTAACACTTCTCTACAATTCAACTGAAAATTGTGTGCAATTTTAACTTTCATATTAACGATTTTCACTATGTGAGACTCCATATTTACATGTTTAAAATTATGTAAGTTGGGTACCATACTTCGAAGGTTGGAGA